CCCCGGAGCCACCTTTTCTCCAGGCTGAACAACCGCAACTCTCTCAGCCTGTCCTCATAGGAGAGGTGCTCCAGCCCGCTGATCATCTTTACTAACACTTTATGGTGATTATGACTATGGGAGAACATTGAACCACTCAATTTCTTTCTGCCAGATGTGACAGAACCTGACAAACAACACTGAAACTTGCTTTGCTCTACTCCCATCTTTATATAAGTTACATTTCAATTTTGCTAGAATGTTAATGAAAATGGTTGTTTGCCAGGACACCTTTTAATTTGAAATTCTTCCCTCCTGTGAGGTCTTACTAGAAGGGCTTGCATCGAAATCCATAAATAAATATTAAGCTGAAGACCCACTGAAGACCCAGAACTCCACATACAGAGAAGCTGGATCACCACAGCTGGACCGCACTCTCCATCAGTTTGAGCTATAACACTCCCAGAGACTGCAGCTAGCAGTGGATCACCGAGGAAAGTGGTGTGGTAGCTGGGCAGCAGTGCCGCAGAGCTAGCCGGGACACGCTAACATCCCAGCCTGCTGCACGGTGCCGGTGGCTCAGGCATTGCGGCTTCTGAGCGGCAACACGGGCCTCACACCCGACACATGTCCTGACTAATGAGTAGCACTGCAATGTGCATAATATCAAATGCTAAAGTAAAATAGTAGATGTAAAACATCTTTTGGAAATGACAAAGTTCCCACAGTAGGAGTTCCTTGAACCTGTGACCAAGAGCCAACCCAATTTACTTCTTCGTGTTGATACACATTAATCCAACTCTGAAAGAGTTACTAGAATTGGCAACATCCTCTGCACACAAAGGTCCCATAACCTTGGCGTTAACACTGAAGAGCAAACTAAACTCCTTACAAGCACAGAGTCGACAGAAGTTTAACCAAGTAGAACGAAATATGTTTCATTCTCATTTCTACAGCTTCACATCTAAAATTGGAACTGTGTTATTTTGTTGCAGACATGGCAGAGCCAATTCAGCAGCTGACTCGAAATAACAATCCCCGGGAGAGACAGACCATCCCATTTACGCTGATCCAGCGCAAAGAAAAGGTACCATTTGCCTCCCCGATTGAGGTTTTAACAGTGGTTTCAGTATTCATACCTGGCTTCCAAAAATAAGTCTTTTTTTATAAAATTATTGTAACCATTTAGGATTTTTAACATTGTAAGTGCAAAGCATTATAACTGGATAACTACATTTCATTTTTAACATCTCACCATTTTTACATGTGTGAATTTTTCTTTTTTGTAAGGCAGAAACTATCAGGAAAGCCAGGAGATGGCCAAGAATTACAGTCTTTGTGACATTTTAGAATTACCTCTTCATCTAGATCAATGCATTTGCTCCTTTACACAATCATGTTAACAAAAACTTAGCAAAGAATACCTGAAAGAAATAAATATCTGAATTTAAAACCAAACATGTACTTTTGTATCAAGGGTCATTATCAAACAAAGCAGCAATTCGCAAACCCATCTTACCAAAGCCATCTTCCATAATGAAAAATTGAAATTGATGTCCAGCAAATTGTTTCCAGCTCAGAAAATGTGCAAACAAGTGTCTAACCTTAAATACATGACAAATCAAGAAAATCTTGTCACAAGTCTTTTAAATCTATCTATATAATTCAAATTTATAAATATCACAATTTGATTGAGTGTATTTCATCTAAACAGTTTGGGCCTCCTGACTATGTTGTAATTAAATGCTTGCAAGCCATTTCTCAGTACTACTGTAATAACTGCAGATTAAAAAAATCATGTTATTCAGTGTTAATTGCAACTAAACGTTCAATACTGCAAATCCAAAAGATGACAGTTCCTTACTTTAAAGGAGAACTACTTAGAAGCCTGCTGAAACAAGTTTTGGTCCAAGATCAGCAGCATATCCCTTCTTGATTTATCTGACGAAGGATTAAAATTCACATGTTCCTTTCAAGATTATTTCACTGACAGCTGAAAAAAGATGCAGTGATTCTTGTACTCAGTTAAGATGCATACACTGCATGGGTTTTGGATGTCTCCTTACTATATGCCAGCTTGGACCTTGAAACGAAGCGTATGTGAACTGAGTATTAAACAGAATGCACTTGAGATATAGCTGACACTGAGATTTAAAATCCTTCCTCACGCTTGCTGTTCTCCTGGTCATACACCTAGAGAAGCTGATTTCTTTATGCTACTAGTAAAACATTGAAATATTGTTTGACTTTTTTTTGTTTGCTTGGGTTTTTTAGGTGATTAACTTAAAATACAAAGTTATTATCTTACTGTGTTTGCAGCTTGGAGATCTGCTTTATGAAAAACGTCAGTATGGAAAAGCCAAATGGGCTTGTATAAAAATGAAAGAAAAGCAGTACGAACAGAGCATATGCCTTGGATTCATGAAGCTTATGAGGTACATTTGTGAGCAGAATTCCTCAGGTAATTAGTCCCACAATTCTACATTAAAGTTAAAACATTATCTTTACACACTAGCTCCTCCTAGTTGGGGAGATACTTTTATTAGCTCTTCCCAAATACTGCACCCTGTCCCTGTGGACATTTTCCTGTAATACAGCCTTTCCTGCAGAGCCTCAACCAAAGTGCTGCTCCCTTGGCATATGTGCTAGGAGAGAACATCTGTGGGAAGCGATCCCTGTTTCCAAGGGCATTCTGACCACTATAGCTGCCTGGGAATCAACACTGGCTATTTTTGTAGGCTCTCAGCTATAAATTAGGCTTTTGCTACATAATTTTAGTGGTTCAGTTTTCACAGCAATACTGAAATCCTGTTCTATGAACCTATTCAGAGTGTAATGCCAAAAGAGATAACAATGTTTTGCCTCCTTCGTTTGAGTTCATGATACTCAACTTGTGCACGTCTGATGGACACCAAAAATTTGTGTGCTTGAAGCATATTTTCCAGAAAGATAATCCAGTTTTAACTCAAGTACTTTAAAATAACGGCAGATCCACCATGTCCTTGATAGCTTGTGTCTGCATGAAAAATATGCGCCCAGTTTCCAATGCAATTTAATCTGCTGTCAACTTCCAGCCATTAGTTCTCATTTTTCCATTCCCCAGTTGATTAAAACATTTTGCAATACCTGGTGTTTTGTTCTGCAGCAGTACATGTGTTGTAATGAAGTCAACTCTTCATTTTCTTTTCAAGAAACTAAAAGCACTGATCATGAAAGCTTTTCTTTAATCAGGTATTTTCACCGCTCTCCCCATTCTTTTAACATGTTAACATGGTTTAAATGTAATTTTGACTCCAGAACAATGCAGTTTTGTTTTCAAACTGTGTACAGAAGCAAAGTTCCCACTCCTAGTCATCACTGCTACCTGCACAGTCAAAATCCCAACCTTTTCCTATAGCACTGCATAAATATAGCAACATTTTTGGTAACAGCAAATCCTAAATGAATTCACAATGCAGCCCCCTTGACTTGCCTACATTGTTTGTTCCCAAATCTTTAAAACATGACACAAGGTCAGTGGACAAGATAAACAGGGGGAAAGAGGTTAAGTCAAACTCCTTGCCCTTCACAAAGACAGGAGAGCTCGCCAAATGCCACATTTTAGACACACATGGACACATATTTGCACATGTAGGCTTTAGATATATAAACAACCACACACAAACTACAAGGCATAATAAAATGCTGCTTCCAACTTGGAATACACAACCCCATTTTCTAAAACATCCTACTGAATTCCTTTTAGTAATGAAACTCTGCTCTGTGGTACTCAGTTTATATGATTCAGTATGAGTTCAGAAGTCATGCACAGTATGCAGACCTTCTTTTGTATTTTCTAAAGTTTCATGTATGTCTCCTCAGGACTGTACTTGGGGATAACAATACCCATTGTGACCATAGTCCATACAAACGAAGCTCAATCGGAGATGACCCAGTCAGTGACAGTAGCGTACTACCTGCCGGAAGTACTGCAGGATGAGCCCCCTCATCCTTTTGACTCCGACATAATCATCGAAGAATGGCCTTCTACTATTGTTTATAGTAGGTAAGAAACATTTTAATTTTATTCTGGTAAAAACAGTAAAAAGATGCAGTTTTCAATTTGGGCATGTTATGTCTTTTAAATTGAGTTCTAAAAGCTAAAAAAGTCAAATTTGGTTTTCAGTAATTGTTAAAAGCTGCTTGCTTTACCAAACTGGGATATTCAGGAAATAATTGTTACCACCTGACTTGGGAAAATGATGCACCTGTAAGTGTCAGATATAACAGCCTCTCAAAACACAGACTAGTCTGTGTAGTTGGGAACAAAGTGTCCAATGTATCACTGAAAATATTAAGAAGAAACTGTTACCTGTTTGAGATCAATCATGGGTAGTATTAGTGAAACACGACTAAATAATTTAGAAGGAGACATTTATGGGCTCTGGAAAAACTGTGTCTTTTAAAAAGAATTTGATATGAAGTTGATCATTACAGGAGCTTCAGAGGAATCATCAATGAAGACGCTATAATGAGAGAAATAAACCTGTTGGCGGAAATTCTGGAGAGTCCCGAGTTATGTTTGCAGGATACGTTCATCATTGCAGGATATACAAATCCAGCTGCTGCCAATCGCCACAACGAGATATGGTTCCTTCAAAGACCATAGCCTCCCATTCCTGATGCTCAGCAGTCACAAGAGTCAGTTTCGATTTACTGGCAGAATCTTACAGGTGAATCACGTGAGACTAAATGTCAAACCCTCCAAGATTTTAGAAATGTGGCTTTTAGCCAGTTGAGCAAGGCAATCAGTCCAGCTTAATAATCAAACAGAGGTAACACCTGAAACATGCATGGTTTCCTATGTCAACTTTTACAGTTCTTACAAATTTTAATGGAGATGATTAGCGCTTTAAAAGTTAGTTCACCTTATTTATTTTTTTCCCCAAGATAGGGGAGACAGACAGACAGACCTCTCTCCTCACCCACTTATTAGCACCTCTAGACCACTTGTGGCTTGGGACAGTCCTAGGGGACATCCTGGAGCCCTGCTCTGGGCACCTAGTGCTGCAGCAGCTACGTGAACACCCTGCTGGGGCTTTCAGTGGGACATCCATTAAAACCACCTCACACATGCAGGCTATACTTCAGAAAAAGAATGTTCAGGTCTTCATTCCTGATGAGAACTACCAGACACTGGGATTAAACCAAGGAATAAGAGTAGGCCAGTGCTGACTGCTTTTAATATCATCTGTGGCGCAGAGATTCTTACCATTAAAACCACCTCACACATGCAGGCTATACTTCAGAAAAAGAATGTTCAGGTCTTCATTCCTGATGAGAACTACCAGATTTAGACACTGGGATTAAACCAAGGAGTAAGAGTAGGCCTGACTGCTTTTAATATCATCTGTGGCGCAGAGATTCTTAATGCTTACCTCAAAAAGCATTCAACCAAAGTACTTTTAACCTTGAGAAGAGACCAAGAAGGCAGAACAGTCCTAATACTCATGAAAGTTCTGACAGCAAAAGTTACAGGTTACCTTAATCAGACACTCATAGCAATCCCATGACTATATTTGGCATTCCTAAATAGAAAGTGGTTATTCTTAACTCTTCAGTTTTCTGACCACTTTCATCTTACAACTTTGCTGAATGTTAAAACACTGCAGCTGAAGTAATTTGTTCAGTACTTTTTACACTCTCCTAGCAGTACCACACTATTAATGTTATAAAATATACAAATACTTCACAGCATCACAGAAAAAGTTAAGCTCGAAGTGACCTCTGGCAGTCACCTGGTCCACCCTCTGCTGCGCTGCTGGCAGAGCAGGCTGCTCAGGGCCTCGCACGGTTGAGCATCTCCAGGGGTGAGGAGCCCATAACCCCTCTGGGCCCTGTTCCAGTATTTGACCACCCTCACTGTGAGAATTTTTCTTCCTAATATCTAATTTTCCCTGTTGCAGCTTGTTTCTTTGACCCCTATCCATACGATAATTCTTGAAGTAGACAACTGCTAGTCTAGCACGCATAGTTCTACACGCATCAGAAGGTCTGAAACCCGCACTCATGCTTTGCTACACACTACAGTACTGCACTTTAGAATCGGGGTAGCAAACCGTTTTGTTCTCAAAAATTCCTTTTTAATGTCTCCCCTTACAGATATGATGGTAGAGTTTAATCTTAATACTTAATAGAAGTAAATGTCTTTTTATATAAAATTTCATTAAGTATATCACTAGCATTATTTATTGATTATATGATTTAGCCTTTAAATAGAGCTTTTGTGTTACTCAGTTACAACATATAAAACCGCAGTCAGAGCCAGTGTCTGCTAGCTTACAGTACTGTTCATTGGCAAACAATACGGATTTATCTCATACTTCTGACTGAATAAATGTACAGGTCTCGAACTTTAAGCCTCCTGGTTCCACAAGGCTCTCTGCTGCACAAAACTGACTATATGCTTAACCTAAACCCTCTTGCTCAGCAGCAGGACCAGAGGGTGCTGGCTGGCCCTGCTGACTGTGCTTAAGGGTGCCCAAGGTGCTCTCTGGTGGTTGCTGCCCAGAGATTCCTTGGGGAGGCAGGAAGGAGAAGCCACAAAGCTGTCAAAGCTGGTTTGCCAGGTGACAGCACAAATGCTTGTACCAGTTGTGGCCACAGCTAGGAACCACTTTGTCTGATGTGCCAATTGAAAGGCACGTCAAAGTATTTCTTACTTAACAGAACGAGACAATGAAGGTACCTGTCATGTGTCTCAATTTGTTCAAGATACAGGATCATAGCCAGGAAAAAAAATAATCAGACTTCTTTTTCAATATGTTGAATTGTTTCCTGTTTGATTTTTATTTATTTTGCCTTTTATTTATTTTTAATGTTTTCTCAGATTGTTGGAAATGCCAGCCAGTATTAAAGTAAAAGCTAAAAAATTAATGGAAAACAATACAAAGTTTTTTAAAAATGAAGTTGAGTAGAGGGCTCAGGGAGGCATCAAATAACAGGTTTTGTTTTGCCCTCACCCCCCCAAGATTTTTATAAGAGCAAGTAAAAACGATTTTTGCCTTTGACAAGTTTTATGGCAAATGAAAGAAGTTTCTGCAATTTGATTGCTTTTGCCAGTTATAGAAATTATTTTAATGCTTTGGCACAACAAATGTCAAATAGCTATTGGAAGTAGTTAAATCCTCTCACCATAAAGTACTAGTCTGTACATACTTTACATTTTAAACATCTATTTCGAAACACATTTGCTGTATCTTTTGTCTCTTTCCATAAGCAATCTTCACCTAAATACTTCTGTGACTCAGCTACTTGTGGGTATTTTATAGAAACATTCTTCTTACTGAAATATAAAAATAAGGTATTTATCTGAATGTGCTGATATCCTAACCACAGCAAAGTGTTCAGTGTTGTTTTATGTAAAACTGTGAATTCCAAGATAGTATTTATTTTGACTTACGTTAGATGGCTTCTGCTGCTGAGGAAGAACCAATTAATCTTGAGTTTGAAGATACACTTTATGGCTATAGAACATCATACCAACTTCTGAAAATGGCCCACATGAGCACGGGCACAAAGAATTGCAGTTTTTAACTGACACACAATAAAGTTTACTTAAGAATTATACCAGTGAATGCCAAGGAAATGCAACTACTACTCAAATATATCATTTTAGAAAGTTTGAAAACATCACATCAAGCGTGATTACCTAACTTCTTTTATCGGAATAGGTATTTCATTATTCATCTGTGGCTGTACTTTGTAAGCCATTAATGAATGGATTTTGATTTTTAATTTGAAACTATTTGATTTCCACTATTCAAAGGAGATAATAAAACAGAATTCACCCATATTTTTGGAAGATTAAATGACGTAGCCTTAACAGATAAATGTTGTCCTGCATACTGTGTATTTTTTGAGCAAGCATTAGTGCCTAAAAAGTTTATTCCAGCTATTGTGATACTCAGGGCCTTGCTTATTGTATGTATTCAAATATAAACATAAATTTTCCAGCATTGTTGCATTGTGCTGTTTTACACTGTCCTTCATTTTCACTGAAATGTTGTCTTGTTTACTGTTACTGTTCGTCAAAATTAAAAATAATTATTTTATTGTGCAGAGTGCACTTGGCTTTCATTTTTGTAACAGACATACAAGTCCTTTTGCTATCTTTCCTTTCAATGGAAGGAGCAGAAGTCACAAATTACTATTCTGATTTTACAAAATCCATTTAAGGCCCAAGTTTGAAATGGTTGCTCTAAGACCAAAAAAAAACTTCCATAACTTTCAAAAAACATACATTCTTTGAGATAAACATGTACATTTGGAGCCATGCACCTACGTGCTGCAGCTAGCAGGTCTGCTAGCAAACTCACTCCTGACTGCAGAAGCCCTCTGCAACCCCATTTTTGTCAAGCATCCAGCACAGCCTCCCACAATTCTTAATGCAGCACAGACTGGGGTAGGACCAGTTTCAGAATCAAACTGCAGAGCAGCAGTATTTAAAAAGAGTGACGTATTGTGGCGGTTTAACCCCAGCTGGTAACTAAGCACCACACAGCTGCTCACCCTTCCCCCCCACCAGCAGGATGGGGAGGAGAATGGAAAAAACCCTCAT